ATTAAGTTGATGAATGCTCTATTTCAAACACAATCTAAAAGTACTTCGTTTTTCTTCTTCTTCCTCCTCCACACTTTCTGTATTAGATGTCATTATCTGCCTTTTTTGTGTATCCCTTGATTGGTTTTGTGTATAGTTGGTTTTATCATTTTTGTTTTGTTTTAATTTCATACTTGCTTGGTAAATAATTGGTGTACTACCTTTACTGTGGGTTTCTTTTCACTGGTGAAAACTATTTAGGCTTAGGAACATTTCTATCTGCAGAAGTCTCAAGGGGGCAGTTCAAAGGAAAGCGGCAAAATCTTGACTAGAGCTCAGAGCAAATGTGCACTCTTCTCTTTGCTACTCCCTTTCTAAAAAGGAAAACAAATCCTACTTGTGGTGCATGGGAGCATATGTATATGAGCTTGTTCTAATCCTTTTCCCCAAGCTATCCTTTGCTTATTCCATTTTAAAGACAGACTAATCTAACACCCTAGTTCTATATTACCTGCTGTTTTAGGACTTTCACAGTATTCCTGGAAATATAATGCTCTGTAGCATTATATATTATTTCACAGGTATGCATAAAAAACTAGTATCCATTTACATTCTTCCTGGCATTTGGTGACAAGAAAAATATCTGAGTTTATTTTTAGGGCAAGTCAGATGGCAGAAAGAATATCAAATATTTGTGGTTGCCTTGGGAACTCAGCTTCTAGATCTACTGATTATGGAAAGGAGGAACAGATTTGGAGACGAGATAATTTGGTGACCAAGAAATAGAACAGTAGGAAGTGCTGGAAAGAGAGGTGGAAGGAAGTATATCTATGTAAAAATACAAGTTTGTCATTAAATTTTTCTTTTTGTTTCTTTTTAACTATATCTTCTCTTTCTGAAGGAGGAATGTGGTGGGATGCTTTATATAACCAAATGATTTTCTTATTCTGTTTTTTTTGGTAGGAAAGTTCAGGGTAACAATTTGATCATTTGCCAAACTGTGTATAGGACAGCGTTTCAAAAGGAAGAGACACTGGAGCCAGGAAATCCAGTTTTTTGTATTCCTGGATCTCTCTTGGAAAAACCCGTCATGTGTGATACCGAAAGATGTAGCACCAGCTTCTCATGAACATCAGTTCCCAAGAATATACAGACTTCATGGGAGCCCTAAAAATGTCCTATGTGGCTTCCTACCAGTGCTAACTCTCACCAACAGCTCTTTGCTCTGGTCAGCCTCAAAGATGTGGGGACTTCTATGAGCCCTGATGTCTTGTGTAGAGAGTGGGGCCAACTGCAGGGTGTGAAGGCCTGCAAAAAGAGGGCTCTGTTCCCCAGTTACCCCAAGACCTTGGTGAAGCCAGGAAGTGGAAGTTCTGGAGGTCAATACTTGTATGGCTGTCTCAGTTGTACACTCCACGTGACCTGTTGTTCCTTCAGGAAACATTTGATGTAAACCCAGGACCTGGTGGAAAGCACCCTGAGGGCCCAGTGCTCCTTCTCATGGAGCTGAAGGAGAAAAAATTACTTGTTGGAGGAGGAAGAAGAGCTAGGGGCTTGGGTGGGAGTAGGATTCATGCGACAGTGTTTGCAAGGCTCCACGGCTCTCACCACTCCATTTCATCAGGCCAAGATCACGATGGGGGTGTGTTGCAGGGAGTTTAAGCCTAAGAGAGTATGTATGTGTGAGGTACAGATGACAAGGACTAGGTTCAGTTATCTGAGGTGACAGGGGTTTATAGCCCCATACAGAGAAGTCAGGACACACCGTTAACAGGCTCTACTGTTGCACATCAGCTGGAGTGGAGCCCCTTTGATGAGGGCACCGTGCCAGCTCACTTGACTAGAAAGCCACTGTGGAGGTCACCCTCTCTGTACACTCTTCCACTGTCAAAACTCAGCTCTTCTCTGACTATGTACATTACATCTCCTGCTTTGGTAGCTGGACAACACACCTCTGTCATGGCAAACTGCATTCAAGAGAGTTCCTGTTCTAGGCCAACTCCATTCATCTCCCCAGAATGGAGGCAGAGTGTTCAAGCCTTAGATGAACCAGCCTTTCAATCCTAGGTCTGCCTTTTACTAACTGCATGACGTCAGACATGTAATTTAACTTCTCTGAGTGTCAGTTTTCTTACCTGTACAATGGGATTAATATTAATACTTAGTTTACAGGTTTGTTATGAGGATTAAATGAGCTAATGCAAGCCTGTCTTAGGCTTTGGCTCAAGCAGCATTTGCTGGAACAGTCTATTTTGGCTAAAATTTTAAGGTCACAGGACATGAAGGTCAGCCACAAAACCCAGTCTAGCAACTTGTAAGACAGAAACCACTTGTGGCAATTTTCTCAGAAGATGACTATGTAAACTGGCCACACTTGCATGAAGGAAGTGGGTAGGTAGTGGGTGGGGTGGATAGAAGAGAGGAGTTAGAGTGTCAGTTCCTCCTAATAATTAAAAGCATAGAATTCTCAGTCAGACAGGCTTAAATTCAAATTCCAGCTCTGTACTGTCTGTGTGGCCATGAGAACATTAATAAACTCTCTGAACCCCAGTTCTCTCAAGTGCAAAATAGGCTAATGAGGTTTACAGTGTTGTGAGGAGCTCAAGAATAATGCACGTAAAGCGCTTAGCACAGCTCCTGGCATCCATTATTACAAATGACGTTGAGGATGATTGTGTGGATGACAGGAGTTTTTCTGGTCTAGTGTCCTGAGATACTGCTCTTTTCATGTGAGGTGGGAAGGAGCCAGGGTGGGTACTTGGTAAGACTGAGTGTTGCCTACTTTGCTCCCAAACCATCCCAAGGGTTCATTTGCCACTCCCCTTCCTATACTGTCCCCAAACTCCTGTTCTTTCTGTGCAACTTTGCCACAGCCAGTTTTGGGGATACAGTTCATCCTAACGATTCACTCTAAGGTATGAAGGACCTTCCTTCTACTTTTAAGGCCACCAGAGGTATTTCTTCTTTAACTCCCCCGAACTGGAAATTAGTAGAGGGAGAAGCAATGGAGGATAGAGGGTACTATGAGCCCATGGGCTTCCTTACTGCCCTGAAAGGAGCCTGAAAGACAAGCCTGGAGGAGGGAGCAGGACAACAGGGGAGGAAGAAGGTGTGTATTTCCTCAGCCTCACTATCACATCCCCCTTCTATGCCTGGGAAAGTAAACTTTGATTCTAGAACCTGAGGCTAATATTGCTTCCCAAGAAAGAGGGCAACTCAGGGCTGGTACCCTCCAAGCCTTAGTCCTATTCTGGCTCCCAATGCCCACTATCAGCAGAAAAAGCTGGCTCCTAAAACACCAAATCCAGCAAGGAATAGTATCAGCAATTGCTGAGCTGCAGGAATCTTCTCATGCATCCTAGACTTTTCTATGATGAGAAAAAGAAGAACCTGGAAATTTGGGGAATTCAAAAAATTTCCAACACAAATGTAAAAAGTCTCTGGTTACTTGGACACTGCACATTTGCATATTTGATTTTATGTATTTATTACAAATGATGTTATGGCCTTGTGAAAAATAGTCATCATTATAATAATCATAATCACTGAATTTACAGTTCATATGGCAGTTTCTGATACATTGTTCAATTTAATTTATCCTCTTAACAACCTTGTCAAGTAGGTATTACTGTTAATCCATACTTTACAATTGATGAAGCAAAGGCTGAGTGTGTGACTTACTCAAGACCCCAGATCTAGTAACCTCTAAGTGTTATTTTTCTTTTGTTTTTAAAATTAGGCAATGAGCTACCAACATTAGAATCATGCATAGAAAGGTGCTGGACTATGGAATCTGCATCTTCCAGTGTGAAGCATAATAAGCTGTATTAATTTCCAAGGAAAGGGTTGAGAGAGAAAAGAGATTCACTGATTCATTGATACAATTTTTAGGGAAATTTGATCAGTATAGTATCCCAAGATTTTGACCATCTTCATTTTTTTTCAAATCAAAGTTTAACCTATTGAAATAGACATGCATCTTCTCCTTTACATAAACATGAAGCTCTACATGTCACAAAGGGCTTAGAAGGATGGGCCTCCTAATTGATGAAGGGTAATGAAGTTCTATTCCTTATTCAAAGACATAGATGCTTTAGGAGAGGGAGGGAATGTTAAATATATTATTTGTCTATATGAGAATACAGAGGCATGAGGTTGGCAGTTCTGTGCAGGGCTTTGGGTGAGAATACAAAGGAGGGAGAGTGAAAAGGACATTGGATTAGTATAAGATAAACCGGTTTCATCAGGTGGTGGCTTTGGATAAAGTGTTTTGATTACAAATAACAAAGCAAGGACAGAAGCAAAATAGACTATCATTGGAGTATTTCAACTAAAGGAAGGCTTTGAGTCCTGGATCTACACGTTATTAGTATTTCAATGATAGTCTACCATCTTGGTCTTGGGGAAATTGTTTAACCTAGCTCATTTTAATTTTTCTTATGTGTAAAGCAGGGACTAAAACAGCACTTTTCTTATAGTACCTGTAAGACCATTAAATGAAAAAAATTATGTGAAGTGCCTAGTACAGTGCCTGGTATGAGGAAGATTGCAATTGATGTTGGCAACATTTTTCCTCTATTATCCCCCCCAACCCCTTTCAATTACAAAATTCTGAAATGCTGTAACTTTACCTAGATATTTACTGGAAATCTAATTTTCCAATAACAGAAGAAAAAAGTTCTTGATTCTCCTTGTAGATACTTTTTGCAAGTTAAAGGAAGATATTAGTGTCCCTTTTCTTTGATTTGATTCTGACCCAAAAGAAAGATATGGTTAAGAAGGTAGGAGAAATGAGTAGTTCATTTAGGCATTAATAATCCTGAAGGAGGTAAATATAAGGCAACCAGATATATGGCATCAGTTTTTAAGCAGGCATATTTTAAAAAAATCAGAAAGATAATAGGTGGGAGCTCATGGTCATATTTACTAAAGAAATGGCTCAAAAAAGATACAGGTCTAAAAACTAAATGACCACATATATGAAAAATCTTAATCATAAGTAATCTGATTTACTTTCCCAGGCAAAGATGAGTGAAAGGCATTTAAAACACTTACTTGACTTATTTGAGGGATTTTGATAAGGAGCTCAGAAACTATGGGTGAGTTTAAGTTTAATTTCATTTTACATATTTCTCTATTTTCTAAAAATTTCTATGACCATGACTTTTATAAAGTAAAATGTTTCCCCAAACATTTGTACACTAGAGAAAAAAGTTGGCAAGTAATTAGAAGAATGTTCAGAAACTAGGAGAATTGTTTTAAAAGTAGCATCACTTGAGCTAAGTATCACTTGGAGATGAGGCATGCAGGAAAAAATGCTAAAGATAACAAAAATTATTTTGGTTACGGTTCAGTGCAATCACACGAACAGGAAGAGGGATGCACAACAATAATGGATTATGCAAAGCAGTTGGACCTCTGAGCTTTTATTTTGCTTCAGTCTAGAAAAATGCAGTTCAATCAGTTCAAAGTAAAACATGCATCATTAGGAAGTCATTGAAACACGTGGGAAATTATTAAGAGGGCCCTTGATTTTTCTAAATGAGTTTAAAGAATTTTATGTTCTTTACATTCTAAGAGTTCATAATCTAAATCATAAAATACAGGAGAGGATGGATTCTGGAAACTCCACATGATGTTGATTCTTGGCAAAAATCTTAGAGTAAATGTGGAAGATGGGTTAGCTCCCAGGAAAGAAAGTCCCAATCACTTAAACTGGCATGGATTTACTAAATCAAGTTATATCAAATTATCCCAGTGTGGATGATGTGCAGGAGGGTGCTAGAGTTAATAAAGTTTGGCAGTCTCTCAAGTTCAAAGAAATAGTGTATTCTGTTTCAGCAAGAGATTCACAAAGCTTTTTAGTTATAGAAAATTTCAAACAAAAAGAGAATGGTATAATAAGTCTCTACATACCCATTACTGAACTTCAGCAATTATTAATATTCTCATATTTGTGTTTCCTCTGTTACTCTCTCCTCCACCAAGTCTTTTTGTTATTGGTAATGGACTATTTTAAAGCAAATCTCAGACATATAATTTTACTTGTAAGTATTACAGTATGAGAAAGATGTGTAACAAACTCTTTCATGATATGCTTAAAAACGAGCTGGAGACATATTGGCTGGATAAGAACAAACTAAGAGGACTTATATTAGCAGCATTCATGGCTAAATCGTGTTGAGAAATGGTTTGAAATCCACCTTGAAGAAGGTTATAGGGGAATATACCACAAGGTTCGATCTTTGTCCCAGGCTTATATGGCATATTTTATCAAGGATTTGGATGAAAACATAGAATGCATGCTTAGCAAATCTGCCAACAATACATAGCTTTTAATGAGTGCAATGTATTACATAAAAGAATAAAGTGTTGTCAAGCTGGAAAGATGGGCTGGAATCATAAAGTTGACATTTAAATGATAGATGCAAGGGTGAGAAACCTGACTTGGAGGTAGTTCATGTGAAAAAAATCTGTAGGTTTTACTGGACCACAGGTCTCCATATGAGTATCTAAACTAACTAGTGATACCAGGCAGCACCAATTAAAGTTGTTTCCTGGTCAAGGATATAGTATCTCCATTATGTCTGCAGTATTATCCTCAGTTCAGAGCAGTGTACTTTGAGAGGGACATTAAGAGACATTACTCCATCTAGTGGAGGGTTATTAGGGTGTTGTGAGATCTGGCAATCATATGTAAAGAATGGTTAATGGAACTGGAGTTTTTTAGCCTCAGGAATAGGAAACTTGAGGATGGAATGTACATACTGGGTATCTTTCAAGATTTGAAAAGAAAGTCTTCTAATGAAGTAGTAAACATACTCTGTGTTGCTTCATACCTTAGAGCTGGGATCAACGGGTGGAAGTAGAATGAAAAAAACTTGGGTTGAGATAAGAATGTCCTAACAATTACAGATGTCTGGCAATGGCCTGGACTACATGAACATTCACTTCTGTCCCCTTTAGCGGGCAGTTTACTGCAGAGGATAAACACCCATCTTTCAAGATTTCTGTAGAAGCAGATTTGCTGCTTGGAAGAAGTTCAAAACTTTGGCTGTACATTAGAACTACCTGAAGGGCTTTAAACTGACCAATGCCTGGGCCCTGATCCTAGAGATTCTCAGGTAGTTGCTCTGGGTAGGACTGGAAAAAGTCCAGGTGATTCTCCTGGGCAGTCAGGACTGGGAATTGGAGAGTGCATGATCTCTAAGGATCCTTTCAACTTTGAGATTTCTTTGATCTGAAGAAGATAAAGCACATTTATACAATATTTAAAAAGTCAGAATGGTGAAAAGCCTGAAGACGACAGAGAAGTCAGACACAAAACTGAACTCAGGGAAGAAACAATTGTTTAAGAAAGACTAAAAGTGCCAAGGTAACCAGTACAGAATGCAACTTAGAGAAGAAGGTGCTGTATAATTGGGAAGAAGGAGGGAATGAGGCTGCGTGGGAATGGTATGAGGGGAAGGAAGTGTGACAGAAGAAGATAAGGGTCTGAAGAGGATGGTCCTGGGCAGTTACCCTGAGTGCCCCACAGGCCCCTAAATGAGGAGAGCACAGAAAACCTTTTGTTATCATAGTCACTGCCTGTGTACACACCTGGATGCATCACATTGGCACAGTGAGCAACTGCAAAGGTTAAAATGCATAACACAGCTGTTTTCTTCCAGGAATAGTGCCTTGCCTGCCTGCCCCGTGTCTTGCCAGGAGGCTAGTATTCAGCTCACTTCCTTTGGGGTGCAGAATCCTTTACCCCACTTTCCCTCCCAAATCCTGCTGAAACCTCCTAAAGTTATTTTAAGCTTGTTTCTTTGAAGAGCCTTCTACAATTCCCTTACTGCTATTTCACTCCCACTCCCACCATTGTGTTAAACAGTTATGAAGGTGATGTTACAGAGCTGGCTGGCTTCAGGGATAGTGAACAAGAGCTGCCTTTAAAAAGTAGGCTAAAGGGTGGCTGAGGATTGCCTATTGAGAACAGACTGGAGGAGTGCTGCCCCCACATACCTTCACAATCTCTTTCTTAGAAAGAGTATGGGTGGGATATGCTGAGATGTTTATAAAAAGAAGAAAATCCTTCTGAAATCACAGGAGAAAGGCCCCTGGTTGACTTTTAACTATAAAGAATAAATTAAACAGCCTTCACCAATTGCACCCCTAAAAGGCCTCACAACTGCTTTTCTCAATTAAAAAAAAAATCAGCCATTAACTAAAGGATAGTTACAGTGTATTAGGGATTAAAGCAGTTGTTTTCAAAGTGTGGTGCCTGGACCAGCAGCTTCAGCATTACATTACCTAGCAACCTGATAGAAATGCAGAGTCTCTGGCTTTACCCCAGATGCACAGAATCAGAAACTCTGAGGATAAGGTCCAGCAGTTTTTGTTTTATCAAGCTTCCCAGGTGATTCTGAGGAGGTTTATGGTTGAGAACTGGATTACAGAAAGCATGTCTTTAGAAGGTTCTCTAAAGGAGGTGTCCAGAGCCTGCCCTCTGACACGGGGTTGAACATGAAAACTGTAAGCTGAAGAAACTCTAGCCCTAACCACTGAGCCAGGGTGGAGAGTGGAGTTGACATTTGCTTAGTAAAGTAGGTCATGTGGCAGGAGGAAAAAACTACCAACAAAGAGGGGTAAAGTTAAATAGAAACAATCACAGAGTGGTGGTCAATCCAATTAACTCATGTCATACAAAAGTAGAAGGTCACTATTCAAATAACTTTACCAATACATACCTACATAAAAAAGGAACTGTATGATATGAATTGAATTTTTTTAAGTATTTGGTTTCACCTTGGAGATGTGGGTTATTGTGAAAACATGTCTAGCAGGTTCTGGTCAGTCCTAATTGAAATAATGTTGACAGGAAAATAGAAACCCGTTGAATTTTGAAAAGATGATTTGGCTGCTACAGTTTTATTTTCTAGGAGTTATGTGGTAAAGAATTACAGATGCCAAAAATGTGAAAAAGGTTATGGTCTTAATAGTATACCATAAAACAATAGCCAGAGCTACTGTTTATTGAGTGTCTACTGTGTATAGACACTACTGTGTGAGTGGCACCAGGGATAAAGCTATGGCTAAGCAGACATGGTCCTTGCCATCCAAACCAGTGGTTCCCAGACTTGGTTGCATGTTAGATGCACTAGGGAGTTATTAAAAAGAGCAATGCCCAGGCCCCACCTCTAGCAATTTTGATTTAGTCTGGGGTGGGACTGAGGAGCTGGTGTTTTCACAAAGTTCTCTAGTGAATCTAACTAATGTGCAGCCAGAATTTAGAATAACTAGTGTGGTGGAAGACTTAAGCATGTAGATAGTTAATTACAGTAGCTTTAAGTGATATGAAGAAAAAATTTAGAGTGCTGTGAGATCTAGTGGGATTCAGAGTTAAAAACAAATGTGCTAGGCTCTCTGGCAGGGGAAGAACAGTGAAATGAGGGCTCAGAGGAGGCAAAGGGTGAGGCTGGAAACCTGGAAGGGGCAGAACATGCATGGGTAATGTGTAGGATTTGGGTCTTTATTCTAAAGTAGTGGGGAGGTATCAAGTGTTTTAACTAACTAGTGGGTGATATGATCATATAGAAAAGATCACTCTGGCTGCAGCGTGGAAAACAAATTATCAAGAGGCAAGAGTGGATGGGGGGACACCCATTAGGAACCTACTGTGGAATGTGGTGACTAAGAAGGTGGCAGCGTGATGGAGACGGATGGTAGGCATCAGAATCTCTGGGAGGTAGAATCCCAGGACTTGACACATAAGGGGTGGGCAACATTTGCTGAATGAGTAGGATGCTTGGGTGTGAAGGGTGAGGGTGAGGAGGGCATGGGGGATGATGCCATCATTCTTGGCATCACAACTGGATGGGCAACAGAGATGCTCACTGAGCTGTGGAAGGCTGGAGGAGGAAGGCAGGAGGGGAAAGGGAAAAGTATGAATTCTGTTTGGACAGAATAGGTTTGAGGTACTTGTGAGTCATCTAAGCTGCCATCAAGGAGGCAGCTGAAAGGCCAAGAATATGAATATATATGTCTTCACAATATAAATTTTTTTTCCACATATAGACAGTAGTAACTGAGGTCATGGGGTAGTTGGGATCACTCT